GAACTTGCCCTGAACTTCATTTACATATTACTCAGCCAAATTTCATGGCATAAGGCACTCGGCATTTAGATTTTATCTACCATACAAGTCAGCTGAAACAACCAAATGTGTAATAACCTCAATCCAACATTCTGGGTTAAGAGAAACATCTAATAACAGTGCTTCACATACTGGTTAATGATTTTTAGAGACTTCAACCAAACTCAATAGGTCATATTTATCCCTTCTTTATATTTTTATGCAAAATGGTGATAAAAAGTCCCAGACAGATGTAAACTTTTTTCTCCCCAAGTCCAAGAACCCACCCCAGCTTCAGCTCAGCACACACACACAGTGCTAGGTGGTTTATTTTATCAGTACCCAACGGCTGCAGCCACCTGCAGCATCCCCCTCCATCCCCTCACAACTCCCTGCATCCCACCCCCCTCTCCTCCACCCTCCCCACTCATCATTCCCCCATCCTCACACACCCCCCACACATCCTCCCTGCATCCCCACTCCTCCATCCTCCCATCACAACCCTCTGCATCCCTCCATACTCCCCCATCCACCCCCCGCCTCCATCCATCCTCTCTGCCGCTCCCCCTCTGAAACCTCCAGAGGGGAAAGGGCAGCAGCCAGACGGTGCTTTGAGGGTTTCTTGATGGGCAGCACCCACAAGGCATTGCTTTAGGACCAATTTTTGCTTTCAGAAGGGCACAGTGGATCTCCACTTGCCTCGCAGATGGGGAGGGAAGAATCACGGCAAGGCCGCTCAGCCCCTCACCACACCGGCACAGGGTCCGGTCCGGTCCGCTCCCGCTGGAGCGAGCACTCCCGCGCTTTTACCTCGGTATAAACCCCGTGCCATTAATCTTAAAATCCTCTGGCTCCACGGAGCTATATTTAAATTGACATCAATGAAAAAGCAGAACCTTTCTCAGGTTTCCCTGAGATGCTTCATAAAAAGGGAATTCCGGATGTTTGAATTGGAAACTCACCTAAATGGATTTTTGTTAAGAAAACCATCATAACATTTACCGATTAACTGTGACCCGATTAGCATTCAAACACGGGAAGAACTCACTTTCGGTGCTGCTTTTCCAGCCTTCAATCTACACCCTTCTACTCTGTTTACAGAGAAAACATACGCTGTTTTACCTGGTACAATTGTACTGGTACAATTAAAATGTTAGAGCTCCCTAGCATGGATGCATTTTTGCCAGAATAAATGTGTTATACCAATACAGCTTATTTATATACAGAAAAGAGAATAAACATCAGGTATATTAGCTACATGTATACAGGCCCCAGAATTATACAGTACTGGCAAACAACCCCCAGGGTGGGGGGCAGCTTTTCTGGCAGCTGGGCTTTGGGATGCTTGCAGAGAGAGATCATTCCCACAGGCAGAACAGGGCTCTGAGGAGAAATCGCAACACTGAACAAAGTCATCCAAATCTTCCCCAGGGTTCCTGCCAGACATCTCCAAGAGTCTGGGCTGACACAGCTCTACTGCTGAAGTGTTGTGAACATGGGTGTCACCCGCCGCAGCCTAACAGCATCCATACTGGGTCATTACAGCTGTAAAAGGTAATTAGAAAGTGAAACATTATGCCGCACTAACAAAAATTATCCAGCAGCACCAAACCTGTGTGCTGGTGAGGCCTGTTGTAATTTCCTCACGGTGGCTCACCGGCCAGCGAAGGCCATCAGTGCCGGTCGAGGTGAGCCCCAAAGCCCTCTTTGTAAATGCACCCGGAGAGCATCGACATGTGTTGGAAGGGCTCTCACCAACAGCTGGTGGCACTTGCCTTTGCTTTTCAAAGAGAAGGCGACACCTCGCCAGGACCCCTCCGCTCCTGGCTCTGAGCTGCCGTCACGGAGGTGCAACACCGCGCCAGCCAGCCCCGACACGGGGAAATTACACTTTAACAGAAAATCTTAGAGAAGCCCATTAAAAGAGAAAATAACTTAGATTTTTAGGAAAGTTATTTTACAAGAAGATAAAGCCAACCCAAAACACTTGTCAGGTATTATTGTCAATGACTTCTAACGGATCTCTCATCTGACTGAGAGGACTTTGGGTTTTATTCGCACCGGTGGCAGAGCAGGGAGGGCTCCCCAGCTCGGCCCCCATGCGCTCCGCGCCGTGAACGGCTCTGTCCGCAGCCCAGGTTTGCCATTAAAGCCGATCCTACCAACAAACGTCTCCGGGCAAGCGGCTCCCAACGCGGAGCCCATTAATCTAGAGGTCACGGCAGGCTGCTGGAGGCACAGGGGTTTCATGCAGAGCGTGGTTTGCACCTCCAAACAGACTCCTCGCCGTTCGCCCGCGGCCGGCGGGAGCGCGGTGCTCCGGGGCCCGGCCTCCGCCTGTGCCGACGGACGGTGGTCTGCGGCCGGGTCCGGGCCGCCCGGGGG